TAGATGTAAATTGTTTTTCATATATAAAGTCTGGTTTTGGTTTGGGATCAGGTCATAGGTCAGCTTAGGTTGAAATTTTAAAGCAAGCTGGCAGCTCGTTTTGCAGATTCTCTCATTGTGTGACATATGGTTCTCTTAGACTTAGTACTGTATAAGATTTTTGGAGAAATCATTCCAATCTGTTTATTGCTAAAATCTGAGTGCAAATAAATAGAGAAGTGTTGCAAACTTATGCTACAACATAGGATTTGTTTAACCATGGTATTAGTTCATTGTTTATCAGTAGCTAACTAGCTTTATTAACTAGCCAGAATTCTAACATTTTTCTAAATAACTGAAAAATATGATCTGAGCACAAATAAATTGGAAGACGGGTAACATCTTCCTGAAATCTAGGATTTAATAAACTATGATTTTAGTTCATTGTTTTTCAGTAGCTAACTACAATGGTCGTATTAGCCTAGGATTCTAACAGTTATTTAAATAACTGAACAATGGAAAGTCCAAAGTAAAAGACATCTAAACCCAATCCGAACAGCGAAAGGGTCAGTGTTTTTTGCTTGCTGTCCAAAAGTCCTTCCCCGGACTTGTTAATGCTCCATATTTTCATCCATGTTATTGGCTGTAACAGATAGGAGGGTTTTACTTCATTACGAATTTGATATTTAGTAGGATTTAGAAAGTTGTAGCATTATCATAGATTATTTTGGCTAAAAACAAATACACATTAACTTTCTCTTTCTCTCTCTCTCTCTCTCCCCTTTTTCATGGACTCTCCTATCCCTGCCAAACAACCCACAAACTGCTCTCACTCTCTCTCTATCTCTGTCTCTCTCTTCTCATGGACTCTACTCCTTGGGAACTCGATTGATGTTCTTTGAGAAGGAGACAAAGTGGGTGCTCAGGCTCATTTTCACAATTCTTCTTGGAAATAGGAGAGGCTTCACGGGTTCGGAGTATGATGGGTAGTAAACATATCTTGTGGTTGGAATTAAGAGTAAACAAAAGTGGTAGGTACCTTGCCATTACTAAAAGGCCGCAAGAGAAAAGGATGAAGATTTATATCCTTGAGGGTATGGAAGCTAATGGCTTGTGGAGGATGGCAAAGGTAGTTGGCGAGTTTTTTGGTACTGTTTTCACACCTCCGAGGAAAAGAAATGTGGAGGTTTCTTGCACGGGTTTTGAAGAGGAAGAATACAGAGGCCATTGCTAGCGGTTATGGGCAACTGGTGCTGTCCCAGATACAATATGAAGTTAAAGATCAAGTGGGAGGTGGTGCTTATGGGGGAAAAGGCGAAGACGTTCGCAGAATTGGTGGCTAATATTGTTTATCGGGTTAAAAAGAAGAGACTCTGTACTAAAATGGATCATGCTTTTTTTTTCCTTAAAATTTAAAAACCTATCTCACGTCAGGCCAACACAAGCGGGCTTGAAGTTTGGTTTTAAGAACGATAGAACAAGCTTATTTGTGCATCAAACTTGGCCTAACCACAAAAAAACCCTTTGCCTGCGGAAAAAGGAAAAGGCATTCTGTTGCAGAGGAAACTCTGGCAGAGGGAGAGGGGAACAGTGGTGTAGCAAGCATGTGCCAGTGCTAGAATTAGAATCATGATCAATGAAGGCTGGAAAAAGCCTTCATTCAGAGCCCCTTATAACTAGCTTTGATGAAGGGGAAAAAGAGGACTATTGTGGGGAGTGCTATTTGATGGCATTGCAAAAATTGAATGAAGAGTTGGACCAGTTTCAAGGAGAGGGGAAATCTGACTTGAGAGAGGGGGAGTTCCAAGTTGTTTAGGCTGTGAGGAGAGAATATTGGAGCAAGTGGCTCCTCTAGATTGTAAAATTTGATGAAGTAGGAGGGCTGAAGAACAGTCTAGAAAGGGTGAGTGAGAGGTAAGATGACTATAGTGAATCAATGAGAGGTGAGATGTGACGTATCAAAATAAGTGTTAAACAATATTCAGAGAGTCAACAAATGTTGTATTAGTTAGTTTTAAGGGGTTCGCAGACCAACTCCTAGAGCTTTTTTCAGATATAGAAGACAAAAAAAGGGAGAGGAATTGTGGCAGGTGAAAAATACTGAGCAACCTTGTATTATTATTTTTCTGTATATGTACAGGCTATTCCCTTCACTATATATATATATATACATTTTCTGTTACATAAGATTAAGAAAGAATCTAGGGTTAATTAGCCAATCTCCTAAACTTTAAGATCTGATTATTACTCTTGATTTGTTATTCTAAAAATCCTCCTATAATAATTCATCCGCAATTTCCTACACTCCCCTCAAGCTGGTGAATAAAGGTCCACCAATTCCCAGTTTATTAATG